AATCGTGGGTGACGTTCCATGCTGAGAGTTATTCGCCTCGACGCCTCACTTGAAGTCGAGCGGTGGCGTTCTCGTGGCGTGTCCTCCGGCCCGATCATGCTCTTTCTTTTTAACCCCCCATGAACTCATTATCAGACTGGTCACTGCACCTACCCTTGCACACTCGACAATGCCTCCAATGTATTACAACTCCTTCAGTGTCATGGCTCTACAGATCATCTGGGCAACAAATGCCAATTACTCAAAAACTGGTTGCTTCCATCATCCTTATCAACACACCCCGGCGCTCTTTGGGAGGTATCGTATCCCAGGCTTGCTATTGCTCTTCTCTCCCGCCTCATCTCGCTCCCACTTCTTGTCTTTTATCGCCAACTGTATCTGGTCCGCCTCTCGTTTCACTATTATATCGTCGAGCCACATGCAGTCCGTCGCGACTCTTTCAGCGCCTCAAGAAAGAAAATAACCACACATTGATATCGACGACTGATTTCGATGAGCTGTACATATCGGAACGCTTCGTCTCTGCTACTCTCAATGTGTGGCGCATTTTCCCTTGTATTGCTCCAATCACGGCGGGGTGAGTCTGAGCCATGAGCATTCGTTTATGTGGGCGTGCTTAACGGATGGGCTGTAAAACTGCATGGGGCTCCTCTTCAATGTTCATGGTGCGCATTCGGGCACAACACATAGAGAATACGCGCTCACAACTACCCTTTACAGAACAAGCCAAATATTCATGCCATGTTCTGCCTTGTAGTTCAATTGGTAACAGGTATCATCTCTCACAACAGTTGAACTCCCTTGATTTGTTCCCAAATCGTCGCGCGCCCTTATACTTCCAGCTGCTTGTTCTGCGCTCTTGTTCCTCCTTCTTATAATGTATTATGGCTGACCTCTCAAACATTCCCGCTCATTTGTACCCCCTCCTATCCCGGCGATGGCCAAGAAGAACAGAAAGAGAACGCAGAGACGTTCAATGTCAGAGGGTCAAGCACATAGCTGGATATCCAATATCGCCCGAGAAACCTCTATCTTGACGCCCTCCCAGTTGGATATACTGGCGCAGGAAATCGGACCGTAGGTGTCTTCTTGATTCTTCCGAATATTGTGTTGACTACGCCACAGGGCCATGACGAGAGATCGTATAGAAGACTACTATCTACATAACGCCCGAACGTCGAGCACCGGTGGTGGTCCTGTACTGAACGGGCAGTCATTCCTCACTTGGGCGAATAGTCGCAGACCATGACGCCGTAACGCCCACGCTCTCAGACTTGAGCATACTCCACTTCGTTGCCCCGCACTCTGCTTCCCGACTCGATACAATATGGTCGATTAACCCTCAGTTCTCCCGACTCGATACAATATGGTCGATTAACCCTCAGTTCTCCCGACTTCATTTATGATACAATTGATCTAATCTTTAGATGACATACTTAGCTACTCAATATTCCAAGTCCTCTCTTTTGTCTTTATTGAGCCGTCTGATGGAGAAAAAGTGGTAACAATTAGGTTTCGTGCTTGATGTCTCAGCATCCATTTTAATTGTTGACCCAGAGTGAGTGTGGGTACGGGCGGAGTATAAGGGATGATGGTATCTGTCAGGCGTGTGAAACTAACCGCTTTTCTCCTTCGTATGCCTACCCCAGTACCCGCAAATACGCCACGTACCGCGCCGAGGAGTAAGTCTCCCTCGTACCGCCACCGCTGTTGCCAATGCTTCCATTCCGATACCTCGACAATCAACGAAAGCGCGTCTGACTCGGAAGACTCCCCCGTGCTCGTATACCATGGCAGTCGACATTCCCATGCACAAATGTTCCGGAAGAGACATTCCCAGCAGCGTCGAGTGCTCAATGGTTATTACTTTCTTGTGTACCGGTCATGATAACAGCTAATCGCCGTCATTTAGATCCTTTCGATTACGAACAGAAATATCCTGTGGACGAGAAGCACAGGGAAATGTCTGCAACAGGCCGGGTCTGGAAATCGTACATGGACGAGTCCACCAAATTTGACGTTGACATGGTCGAGAACTGGAGAGACGGCCTGGACATGCTCCTCGTCTTTGTAAGTCTTTCTCCGTCATTTACTACAAGTCGCTTCGAGAAGTTTGATACAGCTGTGCAGGCGGCACTGTTCTCAGGTGTTGTCACGACTTTTGTAGTGCAGACTTATCAGAGTCTCAACGTGGACTACGCACAAGTGACCGCCTCGTTGATGCTTCGGCTGATCGACATCCAGGTTTCCATTTCTCAGGGACAAGCTGTCCCAAACTCTGACCGTGACCCCCCTAAAGCGTTCATGCCCAAATCCTCCGATCTGTGGATCAATGGGCTCTGGCTCACCAGTCTGGTCCTCAGCCTCGCGACCACATTGATTGCGGGCTTGACGAAGCAATGGATCAATGAATACATGGTCCTACCGTCCGGCAATCCTCGAGACCGAGCGCGTATCCGCCACTTCAGATTTGTCGGGCTCGAGCAGTGGCATGTACCGCTCATTATTGGGCTCCTTCCTATTCTCATGCACGTCGCGCTCGGCGTCTTCCTCGCCGGACTTGTCATTTTTGCTTGCTCGTTGAGTACCGCCATGGCTTCAGCATTAGGGTGCATGACAGGCACTGGAGCGCTCGCATATCTTGTCAGCAATATCCTCCCGCTCTTCTATACGAACTGCCCATACAAAACACCGTTGGCTTCGTACACTTTCATGATCGTTAGCTGGCTGCGCCGACAAACGCACGCGTGCCACGGGGCTGTCTCATTGGCGATAGCACGCTCCTTGAAGGAGTTGGAGCGTACGGCGGTCTCGCACAAGACGGATGAACTCGATGCACTTGCCGTTTCATGGTTGCACAATACGTCGTCGAATGCTTCCGTGCAGAGCATTGCTGTACAGTCCCTGGGTGGCCTCCCATTGCAAAGTATTCCGACAATCTCCGGTCCTAGCGGTATCAGCGCTCCGGTGTCGGATCCCGATACGTGGCGCTTCCTGGATTTTGTAAAGGAGAAGGACGAGGACAGACCCGCGGTGATACGCGCTATACGGGCACACCACCTCGTTGACCAGCCTGCTGATCGTCAGGAGCGATTTCAGCGTGCGGCGTTACGATTTGGCAAGTTTGCAATGCTCAACCTCGAGGCAAACGAATATGACTTTATCTACAACGACTCTCCGAAACGTGCTATCGGCATTGTGCGTGATGGTTTTTTCACGACCGCCGATACCCCTCGAGATGCTGTGTTCTGGGGCAAAGCATTCGAGGCTGCATTACAGTCTGGTCCGGACTTTCTGGGGATAGACTCTATTCATGCTGGCAGTCCCCTGTCATCTCTGTGTATGAAGCTTCTCAAATGTACGGCTCAAGGTCATGTTTGCTCTTTCTCCAATTGCGACGGCAAAGACCCAGTGCTCTTCTCCTTCTCACTTGGACCTGACAGCCTTCCACTGTACATTACTCGGTACGAGATGGAGCAAAATGGAACTTCGACCACGATATCTGATGCCTTGATGGCGAACATGAGGCCCTCTTTCATACGATGGGTATTAGATGTTTGCTTTCCCCATGTTGCCAAGTCTACTAGTCACCTCCCCGACGATGTTCTCCTCGTGCTCACATTGCTGCAAACCCGCTCTGTTCAGCTCACATCTCTTCGTAACGAAATACCGTTGATCCAAACCACGACCCCCGAGTCTTCCGACGATGATGAATCGTCCATGTCCGAAACTTCGTCGAGTGAGGAATCGGTTTTCGTACCAGAGGAAACCCCATTATTTCAAAACGTGCTAGGAGCCGTCACGGCTTACACATTCAATATCGGGGACTGCAAGAAACACAAGGGCATCGACCGCGCCGCAATCTCAGCGTTACAAGCTGTCGTCAAGTCCGACGCATTCGGCACTAGTACTGTCATGTCGCTTTCTCACGAGGCCGCCGTCATCAAGACTCTTTTTGACGGGCTGAACCGCCGGCTCGACTTTGTTGGGCATACTGATCGCGATTCTTCCTGGCTTACTCCGACTCTGTTCCAAAGGCTATGGCATATCCTGACTGCTTTCATTGAATCCGGGTCAGAACACGAAGGCTGGAGAACTGTCGGCTATGTCCTGCACTATCTCGTACAGTTTCCGTCCCAAATACAGGCAACTGAAGCGATATATGACTATCTCGTCCAGCACGACTGGCTGCACGATATCGGACTTGCGTTTTCCCGTCTTGTCGACTCCACAAATCCGGAGTCCGATAGGCTTCCGCGATTCTGGTGTCCTGGATACATCTATGTTGCGGCGGCGTACGTGGATGGAATATACATGTATGCTGACACCTCGGAGCAGGTTAGCAAGGCCAAGTCTTATATCTCGGAATCCGACACCCGTCTATCAACCTTGAGCACCATCCTCCTGATAGCTCATTGCCCGACGCAAAATCGGCTGTGGCGGTTGGGAGAGATCTTCAAGGGTTGGGGCGGCTGGTCGCGTTGCATGGAAGACTTGACTGAGTTCGTCACCTGTCCAGGTGCGGCGATCGAGTATGCGCATGTTTCCCGCTTCATTACTGTGACGCCGAGCGCTCAAGGAGACAGCCCGGCGCTTTATCGACCTTTCGAGGACCTGGCATCTTTGATAAAGACACTTGGAGCGGATGTTGACCGCGACCATTTTACAGCACCGATGTACCCGAAAGCAGTGGATGATCAGCTGGTGGCAGTGGTACGTCTTGTTGCCTGAAAGAACTGGATGCCCGCTGATTTGTGTTTTTAGACTGCAATGCACACCGACCCGGAGGCGCAGAGTTCTCCGGGGAAGCGAGGTCTTTCTACCGTGTGCAGGAGACTCTTTTGGAATGCATGATAATATTATCTAACAGGCTCTTCAATGGGTTGCAAGTACAGTGTACGGAAGGCTTTCTTTATCAAGTAGTTTCTGAGTGTAAGGCAGCATCAAAGTGGAAGAAATGTGGATTGAATCGAGTGTGGCGCATGGGAACAGGCTTCATCGGCCGACTAGCTCAGCTGGTTAGAGTTTCGTGCTAATACTCTGAGGTTTGGGTTCGATCCCCATGTTGGCTAATGCCATGATGGATCATATCTTATAGTTTTTCTTCGCGCGTCCGATGTATGTGATGTATTTTTTCGCTGAAAGGGACGCATCCAGTTTATGGACGGGGGGAAACGCCTCGATAACAAATATTCAATCAGAATCAATGTCCGTTCAAGAACATGGTACGACCAATTTTCAGAACACTGGCGAATCCAGCTGACAAACTCACTCCCCAGCGGTGAGAAATTGACTAGGTGTAACTGACCGGTATCCCGAGTGATATATATGATAATATCATCGTTAGATGCTCAACGACGTCCGTTTAAAGACCGAATTGGTGCTCCACTTCAGTTTTCAAGATTCTCACTCTATTGGCGGCAGCTTTCTTGCCCGACATGCGCTAGTAGTAGTAGATCAAAGTGTCAGCTTTGATCGAGTCTGCCCAAGGAGACTACCGACATGCTATTAGTGTCATCGATTTACGTCTGCAGGCTCAAGTGCTGCTTTTGACATCTGCTGATGCGGCCTAACATCCTGGATGTACTCGGCGCTTCTTCTGTCCCCTTCGTTGAGTCCTGTCAAGCACTTTACAGCTAGTCATCAAATTAGTGATAGAATGCGTAATCGATGCAAGGCACACCGACCAGGCCGCTTACGGTACACTACAACTAGTCTAAATCTCTTGCCCAGCTTTTCTACAGCGGTGGGAGAACTGAGGTCGATAGACGGGGCGGAGCGATTTCGGACTTGGTCAGATGGCACAGCTTTCCAGCCGGTCTGCGTGATGCGGTGCCGAGGCCGCTTTATAAGTTCCTCCCACCTACAGCCGTGGACGTTGTTTACTACCCCCTCTCATGTCCCAGCCTCCCGCATACGGCGAGCAGCCGCCTGTAAACCCGGACTCGCGGCCTCTGCCGCCTGGCTGGGTCACACAATACGACGCAAAGTACGCTCGCCCTCCGCCTCCTTATCGATCACATCACTAACGGTCTTTACTAATCATCAGCTACAAGACGTGGTATGTATGTACGATGCAGCCTCTCCTACCGTGCTAATACAGATACAGGTTCTACGTGAACACACACGCCAACCCACCGACGCCCAGCTGGACACATCCCCTCGGACCCCCGCCGCCTCCTCCTTCGCAGTTCACACCCCCTTCCGGGCCGCCCCCGCCGGATAACAGGGGATACGACCAGAACCAGGGATATGGCTATAATGGCCCGCCCCAAGGACAGTACGGCGGCGGCGGCTACAATGGTGGATACCAACAGCCACCTCCACAGCAGGGCTACGGCTACGGCCAGCCTCCACCGCAGCAACAGTATGGCGGCGGCGGAGGTTACCCTGGGGCAAGTACGAAAGGTGCGCATATGACCAGACTTCCCGTGCCCAGGCCTCCCTTATGTATTTTTATAGGTGCAGGAGGTGGTATGTTTGGTGGTCTCTTAGGGAAGCTCGGCGGTGGTAGTAGTGGCGGAGGAGGAGGAGGAGGAGGAGGATATGGACAGCCTGCATATGGAGGAGGTGGGTATGGTGGTGGATACCAGCAGCAGCCTATGTATGCCCAACAGCCTCCCAAAAAGTCGGGAGGTATGGGTATGGGTGGTGCCCTAGCCCTTGGTGCTGGTGGTCTCATCGGAGGCGCGCTTATTGCTGATGCGATCAACGACAACGAACAGGATGCATACCAGGAAGGTGAGCAGTATTGTGTCTATGTATAGTGATGAATCTCACTCTCGTCATAGGATTTGAGGATGGCGGAGGAGGAGATGACTTTGGCGATTTCTAATCTCATGTTTTCGCACCCATACTATCTGTTTACGGTCTCTTTCTCTGGCATTTCCATCCATAACGGCTCTGTTTTTATACTCTTCTCTGTGTCTGTACACGCTCGGAATATGATGTATCAATTTGTGTCTTGAATAGAATGTGTTTGAGTCGATGGACTCGAAGATGGGAGCGGCCATCCAAAGTTGGTTAGATGATTTTTACTCAACGTGTCCCGAAATTCAGCAAAATCTGTAGGTCGAAGCGCAATCGACATTAACGCTTCATTTGACGTAGATCTAGTTGACCAGTCAGATTGACAGTGCCACTCTGGATATCTAGGAGAAAGGTTGATACACTGAATCATATGTGCGCGTGAATAATAAATAGTAGACGATATAAACGGGGTACATATGAGAGAAAACTGCATTGGGAGTACTACTGCCCAAACTTATAATTAAGCCAGAACGCCTCTCTTCCGCTCTGATCCTTCTTCCCAAGCAGACCAGATTTTGCAAGATAACCAACCATTTTCATCATTGCCTCCACATCAGCGGCAGTGCGAGAAGACAGATCCGTGGGTAATACCATAGTCAAAAAAACTAGTGTGGCGCAACTTGACAGAAATACAGCGCACCAAAAGTAAGTACTTCTCTCCTGAGATCCATAGAGTGAGGCCCATTGCGTCTGTCGATCTCAAGCGTTGGGAAGCAGCTGGTATACGCTCCAAACTGGTGGCGAGACTTTCAAAAGCACGCGTGGTCGGGGAACTTTATACGGGAATGATCCTTCCTAATGTTGCCTGCGGTGTTAGACGATGCTGTCTATGGTTAAGGAGTCAAGGACTGGCAGAGCTCAAGCGATTGTTATGAGGAGAACTATCAGAGGCTATACCTATCTCTCATAATTGCGCCGCCAGGTGAGGCTGAGCGCTGAAGCTTCATGTTGGACTGATTCAATTTGAGATCCGTTCCTATACTGTAGAGATCCCTCCTAGATGGGCCTTGTGCAAGCTCGTCGTGCAGTGGTCCAATCGAACGTATGTCATTGTTTTCCATGTACGAGTGGCTATTCGTTGAGCCCATTGTTCATTCGGGGATAACAGAGCAAGCTGACCCACTAGGACTCTACACCGTACAATGAGTCCACACCTCGAGTCCACGTCCACAGACCGAATGCGGCAAAAGAGTCCAAATCAGGGAACTGTGACTGGCATTCCATTGTGACAAGTTCGATCATCTGAACTTGTCCACAACAGTCACGACGCGAACAAAGAGACGCGTCGTCGCGGTATAAAAGCGTGAGTTCCCCTTTCTTTCTTTCTAACTACGCTCTCATCATGGCACAGCATCAGACCGCGCCCGCCAGATTATACTCGACACCCCGCAGGGCGACTCCAATGTCCCAACCAGGAGCCGCCGCCAGGAAGCTCGAGGAGCAGCGACTTTATCTAAAGGAATCCACGACTGGACACACAGTGCAAGTCCCCGCTGAAACATTCCTTGCCCACTACACCAATCTCCTGCACTCTCAGCGAGACACCGACAACCTAGTCGCTCACGTTGAGAAAAAGCTCAAGGCAGATGACAGTTTGGGTCGCAATGGCTGGAGTGCAACAAACGTTATAGGTCGTAACGAAGATTCGGCTTTTAAAGGACTGGCGGGCATTGCAGAGGAGATCCACTCCCATTGCGTAGATTGGAACAAGACGAAGCAGCATCCCAAGCTCCGGCACCGCACGACTCGTCTCATCTGTCGACCCAACCATACAACGGCTTCCGAGGTTCGCGGGGGATCTATGAAGACGGATGCCCGATTCATCCTCCTCAAGGAGGATAGCAAAGGAAATGGCACCTTGACAGACATCGATCCCAATCATGTTCCGACGTCGGCGGCTGTCTGTCCTGCTGAATTCAAGACTCGCTCGACCACCGAGCTTCGGATAGATGTATGTTTTTTTTTGTCTTTATTTCCAAGACTCAGTTCTAACGTGCTTTATTAGAACGAAAGCAAAGTGCTCGGAGCCGTCGGTCATATTCTTTACGCTGACCCGTGTCGGCGCTCTGTGATTGCATTCACCATTGAGGACCATTTGATGCGGTTCTGGTACTTTTCCAGATCGCATATTGCTGTATCTGCTGCATTCGATTACCATGCGGTGAGTTGGATTGTATCCGCTTATTCTTCGCTCTCTTACAGTTATCTCAGAATCCTGGGCTCTTCATTCGTTTCGTCATCTTTATGACCTTTGCCCCCCTCGAAGATCTTGGATACGATCCCACAGTCAAGCGTGTTCGAGTCGGCGAGGAGTTAAACATTCAGTATCGCTTCACCATCCGCGACAAAGTGTACCAGACCACCGGAGTCATCTACGAAATGAACCTCGACATTGTTACTCGGGCCACACGGGTATGGGAAGTCGTAGAGCTCGACTCCAACTTTCAGCCCATCGGTACACACAAGGTTTTGAAGGACGTTTGGCTGTACTTTGACGCGACACCGGAATCGCACATCTACAACGCGATCTTCGCAGCCCTTCGGCAATTGGACGAAGATGGCACCGTCGCGGACAGCGAACGTCCTCCTCCATTGCAGCCAGGCTCCTCCTTGGAGGAGGATGCAAAGCACTATTTCATGACCATCGTTTCAGACTCGGTGGTCTCGATAAATGGCCAGCCGGATGAGGCGAAGGAGCCGCCGGAAGGTTACGTCGAGTTCTGCTATACTGAAGCAGAGGAAAAATTCGCGATGGAGGCTACCATCGCTGGCACTTCGCGAGGGGAAGTCGATGATTATACGCCTCAGCTGAAGAGGGTCGACAGAGCCCCATATCCGCACAAGAAAAGGACTCATCGACGCATTGTATTCGACGAAGTGTGCCGCACGCTCTACAAGGTCCTCTCCTACGCCGACTTTACGAAGGGAGTTGCACAGCTCGTCTACGGTACTGTCTGACCATCTTATCGTTGTCCAGAAAACTAACGGAACTTGTTCGCAGGCCTAGAATACATGCGCTTAGCCGGATTTGTCCATCGCGATATCAGCCCCGGAAATTGCCTCATTTTCAATGGTCAAACAAAGATCTCCGACCTCGAATACGCCCGCCCGTATGCTGCCCCGGGCCATGGCGCCGCCCCGCTCACGGTAAGTTCTCCTGCCATGAATTTTGACGTCACTCACGGAGCGTGTTAGGGCACACCCGGATTTATGGCGGTGGAATATCAGTTCGGGGGCCATTTGTTTAGACCTCAACCCCCTA